TCTCTTCATGATCTGTAAAAGCTGCTCCGTCAAGAAAAACGAGCACATTTCCGCTGTGCACATCCAAAAAAGTTGTGAGAGAAAAAATTCCTGGGGCTCTGCCTGCAGTTGAGGCCATGTTAATGAAGCTGATTCTCAGCGTTTAATACCTGAGAATACTTAGCTAAAATTCTTTCAAACTGAACATTTGAACTCTCAACTCCCGTGGCATGTCTTATGTTTATTATCTTATCTGCAGGCACTTGACCTGATACGTGGAAAGAGTTTTCTGATGCTGATGGACTCGTGTTTAGAGGGTCACTTCTCAAATGATGATGGCAGTGAATTAGTGCGGTTAGCCACACGGTGTTTACAGTATGAATCTCGTGACAGGCCAAATGTGAGGTCTCTTGTGACTGCTCTTGCTTCTCTTCAGAAAGAAACAGAGGTATGGTTCACACTGCAATTGATATGATGAGAACAAAGCCAGTGTCAATTTAGTGTTGCAAGAGTTGAATTCATATGCAATACTGATTGGCTTAGTATTTGGCTCTGCATATTCTGGTTCTCCCCTTCCCTTTATTTACTACATGTTTGCCAATAAGTCAGCAGCGAAGCTGTCATCATTGGAGAATGTAAATGGTCAATGGTTTCTTTAGTGAAGATAGTAGAAAACCTTTATGTCAATCAACATTTGTTGCTGAATTCACTGTCTTATACTGCTAAGCATAGATCTGATTAACAGACTTCCTTGCGTATTTAACTTAGAAGTGGATATAGTATCTAATCAAAAGGTGTTTAACAGGTACAATCACATGTTTTGATGGGTATTATTCATGAATCTGCTTCTTCAACCCAAACATCAAAATTAACGCCTCTTGGTGAAGCTTGCTCAAGAAAGGATCTAACTGCCATACACGAGATATTGGAGACCATTGGGTACAAGGATGATGAGGGCGTAGCAAATGATGTTAGTTTTCTCATTCCTAAATTCATGTTCTAGTTCAACAAAGGGCCCCACATCCGCAGGGAAAGGGAAAGGGAAAGGGAAGGGAAGGGGGGATTCTCTCACTCTCTCTCTCTCTCACAGTCACACACGCGCACACACGTATTGGGAACATTGAAGTGGATTATCCTGAAGCTATTTGATCTTTTCCAGATCTTTTTGTGCAGTTGCCTGCAAAAGCAATTCATGTTTTCAAATGATTTTTCTGTCTATTAGGACTATTTTCCATCTACATTGCTGCATTTCTACGAATGTGGATGTGGCAGTTTTGATTCCACTTCTGCTCTAATTTGCTCCATTTTGTTGTTTAACCATAATTTCATGTTTGTAATTTTCTGTTCTTAAATTTTTGAATCAAAAATTGCTAACTAGGAAGAGTGAAAATCAAGCCATCAGTGCTTGTTTCTGAAAGTTATCAGATAATTGGAATAGACTTCAGTAATTTCGACTTTCAACTGTTTACAAATATGAACAGACAACTAGTTTATTTCTCTAACTGAAAAGGTTAAAAATCTTATCTACCCAGCAACTTTTATTGTGACGATAGTTTATTTAATTGATGTTTTAGGATTTGTATGTTGCACACCAGACTGCAATTTGGCTTAGTTGATGAGTATAACAACCTCAGTTCCTTAATTTTATATCAAAACCAGAATGTTCACAATTCCTTCATCAAAGGACCCCATATTGGCAGGCCTTCACTGGTAAGCTAGACGCCCTATATTAAGGAAGATTCTAAGAAATTAGAAAAATATGGTTGTAAATTGTGTTCTATTTTTTTCTCAACTGTGTAGCACTCTTTTCATGTAGGATTTCACCATTTAGTCAGGCCAGAGTAATACTCCTGGAAGAATTGTACTGGGAAGGCTGCCTGCCAAATTAAGATGCATTCTTGCTATGTGCATTTGTTTTATATGCAGTAGGCAACGGATACATGTCGACTTATCAGTGGTTGCATTCAATCTGCGATTTGTTTTCACTAAACTCGACTATTTCTCTCTTTTGTACTCTGCTTGTTGAATTTCTTTTGAATTTGTAGCTTTCATTCCACATGTGGACTAGTCAAATACAGGAGACCTTAAATTCTAAGAAGCGCGGGGATACTGCTTTTCGAGCTAAAGACTTCTCTGCTGCCATTGCTTGTTACACACAAGTAAGTCATCCACTGTAACGACACTTATATTTTAGTGGCTTTTCTGTGTGACACAAATAGAATACAGCCACTGTGACACAAATAGAACTGGAATACAGGGCAATTCCGTTGTCGAAGCGTGTATCAATGACTTTTGCAAAAGCTACTGTCGTTGTGGCTGTTTACACTATATGCTTCCACACATGTACATTGCTTTGATAATTGTCATCATTTCGGCATAATGAGATGTGGTTTCGTTGTCTGGAACACCCTGAAATGCATACAAGACTATCTTGGCCTGCATGTTTCGGTGCGTAAAAAGGGGAGGAACATCCATAATGACACCATAGGAATATGCTCAGCAGACTGCAAATTATTTATTTCCCAAAAGATCCCCTTGGATGCTTATGAGTTGAGGGCCAGAATATTTTCTCAGTACCCTGTTTCTGGTTTTCTTGGATAGAAAGTAAAGCATTCTATTGACCTTCAATAAGCGTCATAGAATTACTGAATATAGAGATTATACATGTAGATATACATATCACGGGGCAAGTATAACTATTATGGTAATCTTTTTTTTTTTTAAACATTTTCTACAGTTTATTGACGGTGGAAACATGGTATCACCCACTGTGTTTGCAAGACGCTGTTTGTGTTACTTGATGAACGACAAGCCACAAGAAGCTCTTGGAGATGCTATGAAAGCCCAAGCAGTATCTCCTGATTGGCCCACTGCCTTCTATCTTCAAGCCACTGCCCTCTTTAGCCTGGGAATGGAAAATGATGCCTGGGAAACGCTCAAAGATGGGTCTTCCTTGGATTCCAAAAGGAAAAGACACTGAAAATGTAAAGGTTTGTCTTGGTCGTTCTTAAAAAACAAAAAGTTCTTGTGTCTATCTGTTTTATACTTCTCCATGGCAATTGAGTTTTGCAGCATTGGGCTATTGATTGTAATGAGGACACACTTTAATTGTGGATAGGGTGATTGTGTTTCATTTATTAAGCAATTAGAGGAAAGCTTCAATTGTACTCTACTAGCAAGTCGCAATTTTGTGTCTTAAAATGTTGTTCAGTTGATGTGAAATGAGTAAACTTTCTCAGTTTTACATCTATATAATAAAGTATAATACAATTCAAATTTCAAAACATAAACAAAATGATTTTTATTTTTTACGGTTGATATCTTTTTAAATTTTATTTTAAATTTAATCTGACGTCTAATATTAATATCTCAAATTTAATAGAAAAAATAGGACCTTGAGGGTATGTTAGGGGTAATTTTTTAAAAATGTTTCTAGAACTCATAATTTTTTGTAAGTATTTAAAAAAAAAAAAGTAGTATTTGGAATCGCATTACTATTATCACACTACCACCACCATCGTTATTTCACCACTATTGTTGTGGCCACCCCATCACCACCACCCCACCGGTGCCCCACCACCACCACCATCTCCACTACCACCACTACTATCACTGTCGCTACTGTCCCACCATCACCACTATCCCCACCGTCCTACCACTACCATTAACATTGTCACTCACGGTTATCATTATCACTATCAGTTATCATCACTCATCCCAACTATTACCGTTTCTCACCACCACCACTACTACCGCTTGCCCTCACTAAAATCGGTGTTTAAATTTCTCTCTCATTTATTTTTGTAATTTGATTTTAGGTGTTAACATAAATATGTTTATTGTTGACCATTTTTTTTTATTACTTCGTATCTTCAGACACGGAAAATGATTAGTACTCTTATATTTTTCCTTAAATGTCTATAATTTGTTTTGTTTTACCTGGGTGAGTATGGTCGAAATCAGTGTAAGAACTTAAATACCCATCAGTTCACATCCGACCTGTGGACAGAACTTGTCCTCGAAAATTGGCTCGCAAGAGAAAGGCATATAAGAGTTTAGATACACACATTTAATCTTATTTTTAACTAATGTGGGATCATAACATTCCACGACGCTTCCATAGCTAACGTTTATAGCGACCAACTCTATTGACACTCATCCAATGGAAGCCCTTTCTCTTTAATGACTCTACTCACATATCAGTATTCAATAAGTTAATACAATGCCCACACATAATACCAAGCTATCTTTAATCCAACCTATAAGTCGCCTTTTTCGTGACTCGACTACAGAGCCGCAACTCACACTACTTTGATCCTAAACTTGCATGGTAACTAGTTTTAATACCAATTGTTATGAACTTATGAGTAAAATTTGCCCCAAAAACTAGTTTGCAAAGAAAGAGTGTTAGTTATCTTTATAGTTATTTTCATTAATAATGTATTGAAAGACCTTGTTATTTATGAAATGGTTACGTTGAACTTTCTTGTTGAAGTTTTGAAGATTAAGTTTTCTCAAATTAAACCAACAGACGTTTCCAACCCCTTCAAAACGGGTTTTCTTCTTTTATTCTATTTTTCGTTTGGTTTATATTTTTCCTGAAAGTGTGCACATAACACAGTTTCACTCGTTTTCTCTTGATAATATTACCTGCTGTGAAACCAAGTAGGATTCACCATTGTACGTGTGTTTAAGACGATGCCTACTGACCCCAAATTGTCGGCCAGAATTCAAAATGCAGCTTCACAAGGTCCAAAGCAAGTTGGGGATGAAAGTTCTAGCATTGACAAGGGATTCTCAAGAAGAGAATATAACTGCTAATTTCGGCTATATTTCCTGTTCAAATAAAGTAAGTGGGTCAACTCTAACATAGCTTGTTTTCCGGTTTCGGTAAGCACGTGTCCTCGGCCCAGCCTCGACAGATTCAAAAAGGAAAGACAGAAGAGCATAATAGCACCAAAGATTTAGCGGAAAACAATTGAGCACCCAAGTATAGCATATGACGTTGTCATCAATTAGCGCTCGTCGATAATGCAAAGAATATAACAGCAGCATTATTCCAAATGTGAATTCTCCATAAAAATAACAGAGCGGACGACAAAATTTCATGCCTAAGGCAGGCAGCTTGTACGATATAATGCCACTAGTTCATCATAATTAAGACAACAAACTGGAGGAACTCAAGAAAATACAATCACCCATCTATCTTCGGGCAGCCAACCAATTTAGTAAAAATTGTTCAGCAAAAGATATTCAGCTAATATGTTGATAAGGACATCGTCAATTCACATTGGAGGTCGACCAGAACCGAGCAACTGCCCAATCAGATTAGTCACCTGAAAGCATATTACGGAGCAATTGACATATCCATGAAATGGAGCCTTATTGTTTCCAAGTACACTACTGCAAAAGTTCATCCAGAACCACCAAGAGGATAATACAAACAACAGAGGAAGACATCCTTCCACAGAAAACATTACAGGGCAAAGAAGCTTCCTAAAGTGCAAGCACCACGAACCAAATAATTACATCACTCAAAGTAAACCTGAAGAAGGGTAGAGATGCCCGTTGAAGTGGCATCCCCCTCACTGCCAGTGCTCGCTATAGCACCAGCAACTATTTGGCCTCAATCCCGATATATTGACGCTAAGTATGGTGAATTTTTATTAATTTCATTTTCAGATTAAAGTTATACAGAATTTGTAGAGTTCTCATGTATTTCAATAACAATTTGAAGATTTTGAACAGGGACAAGGAAAGAGAAAACCACTTGGGCAGCTGAAAAAAGACCAAAATAAGATACCAGATCTCCAGATGATGATACTTAAAAGTGTCCAAATATCAATTCATGTCTTTGTTTAATATATATACTCTGATTTGGGTCAAAAACAAAAAGATAAAAGATATACAATGATATAGTGAAACTAAATCTGTAGGCATAATACAAAAATGTTACCTGCCAATATTTTGAAACACAGCGATCAATGCAACTATTTTCACCCATGTTTAGTTCAGCCTCCTTGTACCTAAAAATGGATGGGCTAGATGATAAGATCACTTTTTCAAACCAAATCATAGATGATCCATGCTTTAATGTACAGAAAAAAAGATTAAGAGGAAGACATGGCAAAAATCCATTCATAGCTTCTGAAAAAATATGAAAACAAAAATCAATACCTTTTCTCAACACACTTGTTGAAACATGTGTGGGTAAGCCTGGATCAAAATACAAAGATAGGTTAGGGAATCTAGTTTTTGAACAGGAATCTTGCATAAGACACAATAGTCTGCGAGATGTATCAACACATGTGCATCAATGAAGAGATTAGTTCTAGATTCATGAACACAAAAGCAAAGACAATCAAAATATCTTCTTCCAATATTCTAAACAAAAACTGAAACCCCATTTTCAACGACCATCTACGATATTGGGTGGCCAACTTAGGAAAACCTGAGCCATGAGAACTCTACAATCAAAGGAAAATCAAAGAGTGACAGAAAAAGATAGTTATGCACAAAAACTGAAACCTTATTTCATAGTTGGCATTGCAACAAATTTCATCAATGGTGTAATTTCTTTCCAATATCATAAGCACATAAAAAATAAAAACTCATAGGGTATTGCAAAATTCACAAGGGAGAAGACCTTACTTGTTAAACAATTCAACCCTATATTCCATCTCCTTCTCTGCCATACCCATTATCTGCATGATTAATCAAAAATAAGATTTACAATAAACTTCCACTGATAGATTTACAATTTCCAGGTTTCTGCGCAAATTCATAACCAGACACAGCAAAAACAAATTCTTGAAAACCCAAATTAGTGCTTATCGAACACAACTGGGATAATCAAGAAAACAAGTTTACCTGTTCCTTGTCCAAGGTTGTAGGTGGTGCATTTTTATTGGCAGCCATTTGCTAGAGAACTCTGACACAAACAATAACAAATTCAGCGAACGAAACTTGAAGACTACTAAACAAACAATCGAATAATCACAAAAGAGTGATAAATACGAGCATTCCAAGGTTTTACCTTGCAGGAAGTGACGGATGAAGGGAGCCCGCAGGGTGTATAATGCTCTACCGCAACTCCAACGTCAGAGGAATTAGGGTTTTAGGAGTTAATCTGCCGTGTGAATTAGATGGACCCAAACGTAGGCCAGCGAAGAAAAAAAAGGGATCGTAAATTACTACTGATGACTCCGATATATTTAGTGGTGGGACCACGTGGCATGGGGTCCCACTTAGATAGATGAGCGATTCAGATTATTTGGGAGGTGAGTTGGGTTAGTATTTCTGATTCCATTGGATTCGAAACCCCTTATGTTTTATGACGAAAGTACCCTCAAAACATAGAAAAATAACACCCTAACCCATAAACCCTTCCAAATATCAGTTTCTTGTCTCTCTCTCTCTCTCTCTCTCCTGTCTGCCATTAACGACCACCAGTTGCTGTTATGGAACACGGGTCGTTCCAGGATCAATCAGCGTCAACATTTTCTTTGACGGATGAGGATCATACGCTCGCAAATTCTCTCAGATTCACTCTCAATCAAGAGTCAGTAATACTCTTTGATTCTTGTATTGGTTGTTTGCCGGTGATTTTTTACTTCATATCTTTTAGCAGTTGTGGGTGTGGTTAATCAATTTTCATTCTTCAATTGAAACCCTCCTAATCGATGGATAGATACTGTGTCGTGATTTTTAGTCTATTGCTTGGCTCCAATATTTTTCCATCTTATTACAAGTGAGAAATTATTATCTTCATCTTTGCTAGACTTGTTGATGAATTTTTATTTTTATTTTTTGAACTAGTTATAATGGAGCAAAAAAGGATAGATGGAAGTAGAATACTGTCTCTCTTCCCTCTTGTTCCTCGTGAAAAAAGCTCTTTAGTGAAGGAATTTGTCATCTCTTCCTGAATTTCGCGATGTTGATTCTGTTTTCCATGGAATTGCATCTTGATCTTTGCTCTACTTCATTTTATTATTTTCTCCTATTCCTTTCCCTTTTTTGGGGGAGGGGGGGGGGGAGGTGGGTTAGATTTTGTTTAGTGTGCGTTTAATTGCTTGTGTAACACACTGTAATGTTTTGCTGCAGTCCGAGGGTAACATTCTGTGGGTACAGTATTCCTCATCCTTCTGATGCTAGAGTCAATATAAGAGTTCAGACAACTGGTAAAGCTTATGTTCTCTCTCTCTCTAGCAGAATATGGGGATTCTTGCAACTTTGCATCAGGGTTTTCTACTAACATATTGTTCTCAAGACTCTATTTAGCATGATAGATTTGATAGATGCATGTATCCTGGTTCAATTTTTTTATAATTCTTGTCATTTTCTTTTGCAATTATTCTGATAATTTTCTTGATCTATCTTGTCCCATTTTCTTTGGTCATAGGTTGTCTTTGGTGTTCTGCCCAAATTCTTTTATGGGAGTAGCCTGGTCTTAAATGATAGCACCTGGTCTTCTTGGCTCTCAATGTAGCAGTGTATACAAGTGTCTAAAAGCAATGTCATTTATGTGTGCATGATGAATCAATGAACAATTGTCCTTCAACCAGACGATATCAACCACGTTCTTGTTGCATTGTCACATTAAGCTTGTTTGTTTTTGATCCAGTGACATCAGTCTTCTGTGGTGTCTTACATATATGCAACTTATATATGTATCACTTCGTTTGGATTTCGATTTTTGGCTTTGAATTGTATATAGGTGATCCAGCAAGTGAGGTATTGAAAGATTCGTGCCAGGATCTGATGCTGATGTGCCAGCATGTTAGAAGCACTTTTGACAAAGCTGTTGCTGATTTTAGGAATGCACAAGGTCTCAAGGCCATGAAGATTGACCAATGATGGAAATGTCACTCTCAACACCTTACCGTTTTGTGTTTGTTTTGATACTTAATATAGCTGATGTCGAACGTGTAGAACTCCCATAAATTTTTACTTTCCTTGGTTAATGCTTATCTTATAGTGTTTATGCTTGCAAAACTTTCAAACACAAAGCTCCTTATGAGAAAATGCAGGTCCCCCTCCTGAAGCCTGCTGCTACCTTCTTTTCATTCTCAGTGTGATGATTATTTGTGACTGTCTGGTGTTTGGATTGTCTACTTTAGGTTAAGCGTCTAACCAAGGATACGTACGGGGGTTTCTAGGCCACTATGCATCATTTGATGGTCAGAGCTTTACATTTTCCAGTGAAGTTCAAAGATTATCACCAATTGTTGATAGTATGGCCTGTGCCATAAGCCTCGGATTAGGCACTTTTCTCTTATGGATGCCTCTAGGGAAGGAATACCTGGGAAATATTTAAGCACATGCACCATTTCAGTTGAATAGGATTGGGATATATTCGCATACACTGTCTTCAGTGTCCTCCAGTAGGACACTGAAGACTGTCATCGTGGGAGATCTACCATTGAGAAAAAATAAGCGCACCATGCTACAATCAGAATCTAACTATCAATATTGACTGACGTGGGAAGAAAGGCATGTTTTGTTGATCAAGCCAGAGAGGGGAACCATTCCTTCATGCTCCCCTGGATGACCGATTGTGCGACTGTCTGTTGCACGTTCGATGCAATGGTATCAGAACCGGACCGGTCATTGAACCAGCTAGGGAACTGGGTCAATGGTTCATTGGTTTAAACGGTGGGTCAACTAGTCAGATTGATCATATAATAAAAAAAAAAATATATATATATATATATATATACCTGACATTGTAATTCACTATAGTATTTTTGTTAATAATCTTAACATCAGTCTCATTCTTGTATTTAGCGGTGATTTAATTAACCGCTACAATGATCGCCCAAGACTCTCTCTACATATACATGTGTGTGTGTGTGTGTATGTGTTTCAGCAATCAACTTCAGAGGTGGGTGATGGGTTTATTCCCTTGGATTTCTTTCTCTTTACTTTGTTGTTGCTGGTTGCTGGGTTCAGTCCCTTGGATTTCTTTCTCTTTACTTACTTGTTGCTGGTTGCTGGGTTATTCCCTTGGATTTCTTTCTCTTTACTTTGTTGTTGCTGGTTGCTGGGTTTAATCCCTTGGATTGTTCGTATAGCAAGTTAGGGTTCTTATTCGATCGAGCAAATATGCACTGAGACCCAGCCCAAGGACTGAGGTTTGTCGGAGCCGATACAAGGTCACCATCGATGCAGAGGAAGACCAAAAAAGCAAAACCGTCCTTGGTCTTCAAACCGTTCAGTTTTTAAAAACAGGCCGATTTTTCGATTTTTAACTGGTTCTCTTCCTTATACGGTTCAACTAAAGAACCGGACAGATTAAGGTCCCAGTTCACGGTTGGACCGGCTGGTCTAATTCAGTTCTGATAACACTGGTTCGATGACACTTTGCTCCGACCTGAGCTATGCAAGAATGAGATCCGCCTTGATCCAAACTGAAGCGCCACTGCCTCAACAATAGATGTAACTGAAAGAGGGGTTTTTGAGTCAAGTATATTCTATGATGAGCTTTCCATCCTAAACTGGCCGCAAGCATACTTGCTAGACAAATAATGAACATGGTACTCATAAAGTGGCACCCGAATTGACTTAATGGTTGTTCTACACGCACCTGCAGTTGTAAATAACATGCTCAAATTAAGATAAAATGTCACTGAAATCATTGTGTTTCTGGAAAGTTTTCCATTGATCCAGAGGCGCCGGTGCAACTTGGAGATAGAATTCTCTGAAAAAAAAAAAGCCCTTTCTCCTGTAGAAAGGAGATTGATACATCGTTAATCAGCTCCCATTGTAGAGTTTAAGACCTGTTGAAGAGAGGAAAAGAGAAGCCAACATTGCAAGATTCCTAGGAGATATGAGCCAATAATTATGACTATTTAAAATGCCATGTATTACAATGGCCTCAGATTCTTCATGTAGTTTAAGACAGCATATCAATAGAGACGAGAACAGAAGTTGTTCCTTATCACTCAAATCAAAGACACAAAAAAAAAAAAAAAGCACAGCACTCTCAGGGGATTCATGGTAAAATATTGAAGTGAAAGAGCCAAGAAATGACAAAGGCAAAAATCATGCAAGCAAGAAGGAAATTCATGATGCGGCGGCCTTGACAGGCACTTCGGGTATCAGTGAGAATCACAGGCGGTGATGGTGAAGCTGCTCCTGTAGCATTGTTTGCCTCATCTGTCTGCTCTCCAGCAACATTGCGTGCAGTGGCCCCACAGATTTCACAAGTTCTGCAGACAATAAAGAATATGCATCAAGTTTTGAATGTTAAAATACTAAGATAAAGCTAGTGTACAAACTTAAGACGGAGCATGAATCTGATACTGAATCAGATCAACGTAGAAAGTATAAATACAGTAGCATGCATGCAAAACTCCCAATATTCATCCTATGATCCTTTCATAACGGTGAGCAGAAACAGCAAATTTTATCTTCAAAGGAGGTAGTCAGGGAGGAGATTAATTTGGCACATATAATTTTTTTTGGAAAGATTGCACAAATAAATTTCCAATACACGAATACCCATTCCCGATAACCCCAATGAGTTGAAGGGTTACAGCAAACAGAATTACTGCCTAATGATTTGCATCTAAATAAAACTTCTCTGTAACTTGAAACTACCCTCTGACCTCTTGCACAATAAAAACCATCAAGCATAAAAGAAGCAACCCTTGGAACACAACTTCAGTTTCAATTGCTGTTCCACATGAAGCCATCTTGGGTATGATTTTTTGGTATATTTTGACTGAACTCGCAGAAATCAACTAAAACCATGTCACACTGATCAATTGCACCAGTGTACCATCTCCTGTGTATCTGCATCTTGGTTACGATACAGATAAGTTCTGCCACACTCCTAGCCTCAAAATCTCCATGGCATACACACAGACACACTATTAATTCTCCTACAGATGCTCTCGCAGCAAGATTATCACCCCAGTGGTATGATATCATTTAATGTGTTATTGAATCGAAGAAGTGACACATGTGACAACCAACATGACAAAGCCTTATCCTCTCTTCAGCCAGTCTAAACTATATCACCGCTGACCTAGATGGGCCCCAGCCCCTTTTCAAGCTTGACCCAAGTTCAACCATGACATAAGTGCCAAGAACAACCCAAGTCCCATGGCATACCAAAAACAAAGTTTAGTCCTGTTTACAGCCATGTACTTGAATGAGATTTATTCATGTCCATGTCTGTGTAAACCACTAGCAAATATGTGGTACCAGGTTATGAGAACATCCTTCTAATCGATATTATATATCAGCACCAGATGAAACCACTTACAACAATATGGCTTTGAGGCCAATAGCTCCTAAAACCACCAAATATGAGAAGTTTTCAAGGATCAATATTTATGATCTTTGAAAAAAATTAATTTGCCGTCCCTCTGTTCCATGAAAGTTAATTATCAGTTCCTCTCTAAGCATGCTATTAGTACATTCAACTCAAAACTAATTGACAATTAGTGGAGAGGCTCACAGGATCCAACTAGTTTGAGAGGTAGACAAAAGGAACCCTAGAATTGAGTCTCCCATACAACAAGATACAGCTATGGCATGAACTAACGGGAAACCAATTACCAAACCAACAATATTCAACAAAGGATATAGTCCAAAACCTCACAAAATCATGTTAAAAAGATCAATGTTAAATGCACTTGTAAACTCTCAATGCAAGTCTTCACATGTTTCAAGCTAACCAATCCACCATAGCATCTACTTGGAAAAAAGCTTAAGAATGTTGCCAAGATGATGTCTCAGAACAGAAGTGGATTCTTTGGAGTCATATATGCAAATGCACACCACCTATAGAAAACGGAAGGGGTTCATGTGAAAAGAGTTTACGGGAAAAAAAAGTTTTTTCGGCTATGAGTAACATGGTTTGTGCCAACATATTTAAAAGAATACCAACACAAGCCAATTGAAACATGAAGACCACTCAATATCATCCGGTTTGACAGAAATCCCTTTACTTCAAATTGATTGCTCGACAATTAAATGCCGCTACCTGTTTTCTATAACAAATCCTTTCATTCAGGTATTCTAGCACTATGAAACTAAGCAAGTAACATGATCCACACAACTATTATCAACTGTCGCCACTTAACATTTCATTGAAGCAAGGGCAACCACATGTTAGCAACTAATCAGACACAATAAGCAGCTATTAAATCTGATCAAATGCACATAGACAAACACTTGATTAAAAAAAAAAATTAAGTTTGCACATCTTGAGGAATAGCATATGTTGTAAATTAAAATTTACATGTGTAGACATGTCTTTTTCCAAAGTCAAAAAGTCAGATCAGAAGTTCACATAATCACATCACAGGTGATCTGAGAAAACTCCTAAAATTCAATTTTCTACAATATGTTTGTACAAGACAAACACATAATTCCTAGAGAGAGGTGTCCTTATCCCTGATTGAATGTTTACATTCAATTGGAGAGTTCTGGACAATTTGATGCCATGTGACAAGAAAATAGCAAAAGCATAAAGACAATGAACAAATATATAAATGAGAGGAACAGCAGCTGGGACCACCAATGCAATTACAAAGAACTAAAATCAACCACAAACCCAATATCTTGAACCTTTGTTATGGGAACCGTCTAGAGCCATGTGCTTGTACTCTACTGTGAGATGTGTCAAATTATTTAGATATTACATAATAGATTACTAGACCTGACTGATACTAGAAAGGCAAATGACTCTGCACCAAACAGACCATCAAATTTAAGACATTTAATAGTTAAATCGAAGGACAGATGTCGTCCTACTGATCTAGTATATCTTCGTCCGTCTACCAAGCTTATGCTAGTAGTAATGAAGCAAGTACATCTTTACAACACTGGATCTAGGTGGTATCATAGTTGGAAACTCAATTCTGCACAATTTGACCTCTCACGTTTGCAGAATTTGGCTGGAACACAACTTCTATATCAAAAAAAGAAAATCTGTATTCCAAATTGAGTGATAATTGCCCTTCACTATCCTCTATTTTTCTTAACAGTTTGTACACACAAGATTGTGTATTAACAAGAAGAACCCGAATGTAATAGTACCCAATTAAATTATAAGCCCCTAAAAACAAGAAGAAATACAAAAAACAGAAGCAATCATATCAACATACATAAGTCTAACAACAGCATCA